AGGCTTAACTGTTTCGCACCATATTGACTGCCTCACGCGTGATTCCTACGTGTGGTTTCTCTGATTTTCCGGATATTCAATCTACCTCCTGTGCATGTCGTGAATTTTTTCTTTTTTTCTCTCTCTAATTTTTAGCCGAAGCATATTCTATGTGCGGGACCATAGCACAGTGTCTTCGATCGCGAAGAGCCAGCTCACGAACAAGCTTAAAAGCTGCCCCCCCCCACGCATGCTCTGTCGTCGACTGTTGCTGCTTTCTGCCATTCCGAATCCGACTTCGCCTTAAGCACTCACTTTACTGGAGTAGGACTGCCGAAAATACTGTAACTGGAGTCGGAAGACTGGAAATAGCCGAATTCTGTACATGTCTGCCATGTCCACAGCGTTGAAGCAGCCGCATCTGAAACGTAGAGGTCGAATAAAGAAGTGAGAGTCAGATAGTAAGGGAGACTCACCAGGGCCGTACTGTTGCGCCGTCCTTAGGTACTGTATGAAGTCTGCATAACTGTTTTCGGTGCTGTTGAAAACACCACCACCCTAAATGACTTTCGTGCTTATACACACAGAGCACCTAGTTGGCAACCCTTACCTGAGAATGCGTTCATACTTTGCGTCAGCGTTTCAAGCGTACGGCAGCGTTCGAACGACTAAGAAAGCACAGGTATCGATGTAGCGTTCCAGCATTTACGCTAGCGTAGCCAGCGCTCAAACGCTGGATCAATACCTATGCTTTCTCAGTTGCTCAATACGCTCGGAACGCTGACGTACCTTCGACACGCTGACGAAAAGTATGAACGCTTTCTGACCCTACTCTGAAAGAGTAACTACCTGGTAAAAGATCGTCATGTATTCATTGAAGGCGGCGATGTTATGCAGTGGATCGCTGGAGTTGTCGGTCATAAAGGCACACATATCAGGAATGCCATGGCCGAACGCGTAGCTCTTAAAATATTAAGATTAGCACCGGTTTTGAACCCGTATAAGTGGGTGGTGGTCGGGAAATCCGAGTTGCGCCGCCAGGGCAGTATCAGCATCGCATATAGCGTTCTTCAGAGGGTTCAATATCAGTGATACAAATCAAAGATTTCCCGGCGGTGGATCAGCTTGGTGGCAGGCATTTTCGGCACTACCTCTAAGATGGGTGTGTAAGTGAACAGGACGTAGTAAGAGAAACTAGCGAACTCGGGACGACTGCCCCCCCCCCCCCACCGCTTTCCCTTAACTGAACAGCGCCGTTCTCTCATTTAGTTTTTCGTAGAAGCAACTTCATTTAGAGGACAAAATATCAAGTTGGTTTAGTGATGCTTTGGGGAAATTTTATCGCTCTCAATGAGAAAAATGTCGGTGAAAAATAAGCACTAGATCTCGGGTGTTTCGGGCTGACTGCAGCCATTGACTGCGGTCGAGTGGTCCATCTATAGGTACTACTTCAAGTATCTTACCCCACTATTATCACCACTGTACTGAACGGCTCCTTGGAACTGACTGTAGATGTTTGAAAAGAAGAACTGCACATCAATTTCGCTAACGTCAGTAACGTCGTCCCAAGGTGGAGAGAGCCTGCAAGTGTATTCCTTAGATAATAATTTTTGCCAGAAGCAAATATGGTGAAGTAGTAATGGCTTGTAGGTACAGCTTGTATAAAGAAAGGAATCATAAAATAGAAATCATTTCTTTACAGTCGTTCACAGAAAAATCGCGCGGCATGTTGACAGGAATTAGCAGGACGCTCTCTCGCCCACCCCTCTCTCTCCCATGCATGGCACACATTGTTGGGGATTCCGCAACAAGGGGAGGTCGTATTCGGTCGCTGGGAAAGGAGGGAGGGGTCGTATTTGGGCTGAAAAAAATTATTTTGATAGTTGATTTTCTTGTTCCACGGACGTTTTCAAAGGGAGGGGATCGTACTTCTGACTCTGACCTTTTGAGGAAGGTTGCCTGACTTTTTGTGATTTTTCTCTTCCGTGTGGCTGTATGGCTGTACATATACCCCCCCTCGCTTGACAGCAGAATTTTCGGGAAAAGAAGGAAAATTTTAGGGAAATCCCGGAAAAAGTAGTCGGAAGTTGGGGAAATCTAAGAAATGGTAGAAGGGCGGGGGGAGCCCCCGCTCGACAGCTTGATGAATAGGGAATCTGGGGAGGGGCGTACCAACCCCCTAAAAAAACCGGGTCCGCACGGACTCGACCAAAATCCCTAACTAATGATGTGCCCTGCCCCCACCCCTCTCTCCCATAGTCCATGAACTTCCTCTGCAGTGTCAAAACCTGAAAGGACTGCAAAATTTAAGTAACACAAATGTTCTTCTGAATAGGAGTTATGGCCAACAGCTGGCTAATTATAAATGGGAGTAGCAGGCTAAATGAGTACAAATGTTGAAATTAATGATAATTGTAATTATCACTTTAGTAGCATGAATAGAGAAAGAGGATTACTAGTAGAAATAGAGCTGATAGGTTAGTCGTTCACTAGGGCACTATTTCCCCTTTTTCTGCACCACTTTTTCAAAACTCGAGTCATAATTTGATCGGAATGTTCGTGCTGATAACCGTAAGACAGGACATCCAATGATATCCTTGTGCAAAACCTAAATTCCAGCGGCAGAGAAGAAGACCTCTCTATGAGCCGAAAGGCAAACTGTACGCTCACTTCATAGATCCTGGTCGTGGGATGAATGAGTCCGTAGCTGCAGTACCACTTTTTTCAGTCAGAAGTGCACAAGAAGCTAGATGGAGGGTATACCTGGGTATCTTCTCCATACTCCGCGCGAGCTGTCACACGGCCAACCACGCGCCTAGCCATAGCCGAACGCGCTACTTGTCTGCGCTATCTCAGGTCTTCCTCTTCTCTGGTTTTTACCTTTGTGTTCGCTGCGAGATTTTGGGAAGAGCTGCACCCTGAGCACGAGGCAGGTGGAGTCTAAAGCGGCACTTGTTCTCACACCCTACGGCTCCGTCCCCGTACACTTTTGAGACGTAAAAAGGAGCACGCTATTGCAGCTGTGGACCCATTCACCTCTCACAATAACAAGTTGTCTTTGAAGGATGGGAACTCCATGGGTCATTTCGAGCGACTGTACTTTTATCTTACTTTCGTACCATGGGTCTTTCAAATGCCCTATCAAGGCCATTTGCGCTGAACTTCTT